TTTTTCTTCTTCTTCTTCTTCAAGCTCTCAAAATAACTGAGGAGAAATTAAGACTAAAAAAAAAAAAATCAACTTAAAGGAGCCATAAATTAAAAGCAGAATCGATGTTTTGTTCTGTCTCGCCGCTCACTGGTTCGGACCGCCGTGTCATAAATGAGATAATACCGGCTTTATTTGCGCATCTTATGGGGTTCTTAAAGCCATAAAGCGTGATTATTTCACTGGAAAAATGGTCAAATGTTGGCAACCTTGGGGCCATTGTAGCACAAAGCTGGGTTACAAAAAAAAAAAAAAAAAGAGGCAATATAATGAGGGAGAGAAAAAAAAGAGAGAGACGGCCGGGCCTGAGGCTTCTCTAATTAAATCTTAACTGATTGAAATAAAGGTTTGAGCACCTCAAGGCTTGACTAAACTCCGGCTATTTCCCTTTTTATTGCGCTTTATTTATTCTGCACTCACATGCCCTCCTTCTTTCTGCAGCTTCGCGACTGGCCACTGCAATTTTCAGTTTCTGCTTCATTTCCAAACCCCCGTAGCTATGTTATTTGACTAATTATAATTTTTTAACATCATTAAGATTTATTTTTTTCGTGGGGGGGTGAGTGTATGTTGAGGAGGAAGGAGGAAGGAGGAGGAGGAGGAGGAAGGGTGTGACAGTCACTCATTTTTAAGAAGACAAGTCCCACTGAAGTGTGAAAAAAAAGGAAAGAATCGCCTCTTGGCTGATTCAAGTCGAAACGCAAACAGACCTGAATATCAGCCACGGAGATGAAATGTGTTTTTATTTTCCTCTTAGGCAGCATTAGATACTTTCTTTATCTGTGGGTTTATTTTCATGATTTCTCCTCTGCGTAAAAATGAATTTGGAGCCTAATTTTGCGCATTTGGATAATATCCTAATATTCCAGCATTTTATTTCTAAGATTAAAAAAAATTAAAAAATAAAAAACCTAATCCCCGTATTTATCAAAATGCCATCGAATAAATGAGCGTTTTGTTAAAGGGCAGTGAGGAGTCTTGAGTGGGGAGGACTATCTGTAGGCGCGCTTCTTGCTCCATTGTCTGAGGAAATACTATCATAAATGATAAATAGATAATGGAGCTGTCTCCTGCAGACACGTTCATCAGCGGTAAATGGGAGCTGGCGCAGAGCACCACGGAGAATTAAAGGCGAAAGAGTTTGCAACATTCCTGCAGGGGATAAGTTGTTGACAATTAAAGAACACACACTCTCTCTCACACACAACCACACACACGATCGAGAGATGGGGAGGAGAAAGCGGGAGAGGTCAGAAATGTGTTTCCTGCCCGTGTTTGTGGGTTTTTCTTTCGGTTTATTTCGACGCGTATTTTTTTTTTCTCCTCCAGCCCGAGACCGCATCAGCTGCTGCTGCAGTTTTCTTATTATTATTTCTTTTTACAATCAAGATACATGCGAGAGGACATCAGACATCACAGCTCAGCTATGGGCTGGTTGGTGACTTCCACTTTGTTTTCTAATTATCATTAAAAATAAAAATAAAAACTAACAAAATGGGGATTTATGTGTCTTTTATGTACCTGAAGTCGTTTTCACTTTGCTTGCTGGCTTTAAAAACAACCTCCAAAACATGGTGAGCTATTTCCTGACGTGATAAAAACCCATATAAATAAATAAAAAAAAGCTTCACTTAAAGCAATAAAGAGCAAAAGAGAATTAAAATAACAAAAAGGCTGCACGAAGAGTAAAAAAATCACAACAGGAAAACTGCGTCCAGATGAAGTTTTGCCTCTCACACGATTGTCTTTGTGGAGTTTGGGTTGCACAGATCAACCCTGGCTTCTATTTAAAAAAAAAAAAAAAAAAAAGCCAGCCCAGTCCCCTCTTCCAGAAAGCCTTTTCGGTGGTGCTATAATAAACCATTTTCCCTGGGCTTTATTGATCAGTCACTCTGAGCTAATGTAATTATCCTCATCAATAGGGGGACTGCAGGGAGAATCATTATGCGGTTGACATTGATAAATGATCAGCCAAATGCGGCCCTTTTCTCCCAGGGACCCCCGCCTCTGACCCGCTCCACACAGGCCTACATAACGTAGTCATAGAAACACCTTATGGCAAGAGGGGGAAAACTGCTGAAATGTTTAAAACAAGAAGAAGAAGAAGAAGAAGGAGAAGAAGAAGAAGAAGGAGAAGAAGAAGGGAAAAAGGAGGGCAGTACACACTCACACAGGCCTACATACACAAAACCTTAATAAAAAAATAAAAAGAAGAAGCTGTCCCCCAGAGCGAGCCATTTTGGGGAGAGCCAGCTGCACAGCGAAGGACACTGCGTTCGTTTTTATGACCACTATCCAAATCAGCAATCTGAAAGCAAAACAAAGAGGAAACTTTTGCATCGTCCCCCTTTTTCTCTGCATCTAAAAAACTGTACATATTTGCAGTCCTCTCTCACATCATAAAGCCTACTTTACCAGATGCTCTGCAGAAAAGAAAAGAAAGCGCAGGGAGCCAATAACATAAGCATTATTAACATGTTGCCTCCGTTGCGCACACACACGGCGCTTCTGAACTGTGTGTGGACTTTTAATATTGTTGCACGGGAGGAGAGTGTCTTCCAGAGGAACGGGGCTGCATTGTGCAGCAGTGCAGAGGGAATATATTCCTTATTTTATTCCTGCAGCAGCAGCCCGGACTGGCTTTGACAGGGAGGAGATGAAGGGGAGGAGTTGTTTAGCTCGGCTGGATCATCCATCATCCCTGTCACACCGAATCGGCAAAAGGAAAGCAGCAGAGGCAATCTACCTTCTGTCTCATCGGGGGGAAGAGAGGAGGGAGGGAGGGAGGAGGGGGGAGGAGGAGGGGGAGGCAGGGAGAGAGAGCAGGAGAGAGAGAGGGAGGGAGGGAGGAGGGGGGGAAAAGAAAAGAAAAAAAAAACTATTAATATTAAAATCCTCTCCATCCACAGTAATCCTCACGTTTTCTCTCTTTTTCATCTGATAATCTCCGCACAAAACGGAGGCTTCTTCCTTCCGTTTTATCCGCAGAATAATGGACCACTACAAAAACAACACACACACATTCAAAAAAAAAGAAGCTCTTTTAGGTTTTTAAATAGTTGAGAGAAGAAAACACACAGTTAACTAGACTCTGGTGTAAACGCAGTAATAATAAGGATAAAAAAAAAAACGTTCTTCTACCTGGTTAAGGCCCAACAGCCTTCTGTGGATTAAATATGCAAATAAAAAGGTTCAACAAAGATGTGATTTGCAGGTTTGCATTTTTTTTTCTTTCTTCAGAAAGCAATAGTTCACAGACAACCTGGGAAACATTTAAACCAAACGTTAGAATAACGTAAAGGGAAGCACAGACCATCCAGGCTCCAGCGACGGGTTCTTAAATAAACATGCATTCAAATGTTAGCATTTCATTAAATTTTGTTTAAAAAAAAATAGGAGACTAGTGCTGGAAATATTCCGAATGAAATAGGATTTAAATCGCCTTTAAAAAAAATAAAAAATCAGAACCATAAAAGGCAGCAGTTAAACACAGCAGCAGGCCTCCAGCTGCTTCACAAACAAACCTGCGTTTGCAGAAAAAAAATCATTATTAAAGTGGTGATAATAGTTTACCATAAAGTAATTGTAAATTAATAAATCTAAAATAAAGGGTCTGTTGAAGCACATGTTGGAATAAAACTAATCAATCAAACGAACAAACAAACAAGAAAAAAAAAGGAAAAAGGCCAAATGAGAATCATTTGTTTGTTTTGTTTTTGTTTTTTAAAAAGAAGAAGCGAATTTACAGAAGAAGGTCAGTTTAACCAAAGTCTGCATTTAGTGCACTGAATTAAAAAAATAAATCCGCTTCAAATACCATCCATTAGAAATCGGTGTGTTATTATTATTATTGTTATTATTATTAATATTATTGTTATTATTATTATTGTTGTTGTTGTTGTTGTTTGGTCACACAGAGGAATATTTCAGTTCTAAACAGTGTTTGTAATAAAAATGTAAAAATCCAAAACAGAAGGAGGGAATATATAAATATCTATATATATACATTTAAAGCCTAAAATCCAACAGAGCAAAAGTTTGAACTTGTGTGTGAAGGACAGAAAATATTTCAGCCAGAGTGATGTTGTCATTCCTGGTTTAAGGCTATGACTTGGATGGCCGCGGGCAAACACAGGCACAGAGATAGAGAAAAGAGAGAGGAGATAGCCTATCAAAGCCCATCTGTGTTCCCCTGGACGACGCCGCCGCATCCGGCCGACAGGCGGCGCTGCAAAACGGCAGAAAGCAGCAGAGCTCGCACGGAGAGGGCCAGGACCGGTTCTCAGTGCAGGAGCGGTTATTGTGGGGGGACAAATCATTACTGTGTTGTTTAAAACTAGCAGAAATACAGTGAATGCGTTCAGTTGTTTTGTTTTTAATTGTAAAGTCAGATTATTTTATTGTTTTTGCGCAGCTGCACATATAAATAATTGTTTTCCTTTGTCTTGATCCATGTTTATATTTTATTTTTTTATTGGAATATTGCCAGTAAAATTAAGAATAAAATAAATGTCCTTCTGAAAATGTATTTTTTATTTATCCTGTCTGTTTTCTGAAGGTTGCTGCTCCCTTTACTTTGATCTTTGGTAATGCACTTGCTGTGTAATTTGCACCCTTCATTTGCATGAGGCAGTTATTTATCATTTAGAGAGTATATGTTTGTGTGCCTAAATAAATTGCCATGGCAAGATGAGATTCAACCCTAATTTGTTATTGTCATTTTAAGGGGGCACTCGCTACTTAAATGTTGGTTAAAGCCATTTCAAACAGGGAGCTGGAACAAAGTGAGAACTGCATTTTTTTTTTTACGACCACTTGCAAAAAATAAATTTAACAGCCAGCAATTTAGCTCAACAGTGGTTTTCAGGTTAATGATAATAATGAAGCGATTTGTAGTGTTTTGTTTAAATGGGAACGTGGATTAAGACTTTGTACGTAACACAGTTAATCACACAAAAATCTAACAAAAATCAAAAATGAAATATTTATTACAGCATTTGTGACTGAACACCTTTTAAACATTACGTCACAGTCCTCATACAAGTATTTAATGTATTTTTGACAAAGCTTAAGGGAGACGGCATCTTATCATCTAGTGAGGAACACGTGCTGAAAAAGGAAGGAATTCATGGACATACAATATCAATGCCACAGCAGATCTGAAACTAGCAAAAACATTCTTTTTCAATTGAGGTAAACACATAGAATATCTAACATGAAACAATTAATAGACTGAACTCTGTACGAAGTTTGTTACAATATTCTCTCAGCTTTTTTTTTTCCCTCCAAAAGCATTGAGTTCATAATTTAAGTTTTTTTTTTTTTCCTTTTTTTTTGTTTTTTTTTTGTAGTTTTAGGTTTTTTGGTGCATCAACCATCAAATGCTTCTCCAGTGCCACAGAATCAACGTTTGTGTCAGTATTGTCCTTATGGCAAGAATGTCGATCCGTAGGTGAAGAAGCGCCGCAGGATGTTGCTTTTCCACTATTAAGCTTCCTTCAATAGGCTCTTACCAACGAGAGTCCAGGGTACAAAAAAATAAAATAATATTAAAATAAAAATGTATAAAACCAACACAATCCAGTGCTTGGGCAATTCAAACAAAGAACTTTTTTTTCCTTTAAAACCTACAGGGCAACATTCATTCATGAACCAAAAAAAAAAAAAAAAGAGAGAGAGAGAGAGAGAGAGAGAGGGGCATGACAAATGTTCAAACTGAATCTTCTGGAGAGATCCGGTGTCATTTAGCAGCCTTTTCCCATCATGCCCTGTTCTTATGGGGGGACAGGACCTGATTGCCCTCTGTGGTTTGGAGCCTTTTTGAGATGTTCCATCTTCTTATTGTTTTTTTTTTCTTTTTTTTTCTTTTTATCTTTTATAGTGCTGTGCTGCGAGACAGTTTCTCCTCCAGGAAGGAGCACACACAGTGTGAGAGAGAAAAGGTTAACCTTTAATTCTAAAACTAGCTCAGGAAACATAAACCATGTGATCAACAAAAAATGCACAAGTTTTAACTTATTTATCTATACTTTTTATACTACAGTAGTTATAACTCTTGGAGTCTTTCTGTTGTTTCTTTTTTAAACCTTCCAGAGTGATATTATTTTAGAAGCGTTTGTCACATGAAAGTGTACTGAACATGTTTATGATGGTGTGTGAGAGGGTGTGCGAAAAAAAAAAAAAAGAAGAGTGTGTGTTTTGGAGTGTGTGCGTCTGTCCATTCTTTGCACACGTGTACGTCAAAACATCCTCTGTTGATCTTTACCAAAAGCCCAAGACTTTACAAAGTGTTCTTGTCAGCTTGGTCCTCCGTTTGGATGAAAGTAACAAAATTGACAAGTAAAAAAAAAAAAAAAAGAAGAAGAAGAAGAAGAAGAAAAAAAAGAAGAATTATCACAGCTCATCTGGAATTCTGTTTCTTTAGTGTCAAATTCTGGTCAAAAGGGTTTTGCTTTTTATTCTTAAAAATAGTCTCAAAATAGGATTTATTGTGGGCTGCTGCTTTCTTTTCTTTTCTTTTTTTTTTTCCTTTTTTTTTTCTTTTCAACTGTTTTCTTGTAGTAGCTGCTGTTGTCGTGGTAGCAAAGTTCCCTTATACTATTGGGCATGGATGTCCAGGCCTTGTCCTCCAGTACTGGGGTCAATGGGAGTGAGCAAAGGGGGCATCTGCGCAGACATGGTCATTCCTGGGTGTGACGAGGGTCCTCCGTGCATCAGCATGGCGTGGTGGTGAGGGTGGTGGTGGTGAGGGTGGGCGCGGGGATGGTCCGGTAGGTAGGCGTGGAGCGGGGGTCCGTGTCTGAGCTGGGAAGGGTGAGGAGTCATCTGATGAGGGTTGGTGTAGGTGGGCGGGGCCATGCTCATGCCCATAGGACCGCTCTGAGGTACATACTCCCCTGGCATGCCTGGCAGACCTGAGAGAACGACAGAAACAGAGAGAAATGTATTTACACAGTCAATAAAAGTGTTTTCTCGCTGCAGCTTTGACGTGCTCACTCTCCATTAACAGACCTTAATTCAATTTAAACTCAACTTCACCAACAAAGCGCTTATCAGATTTTATGACACTGCGTTTGTGACTACAGAGCTTTTAGCTTCTACAAGTAAAGAGAGACATTATTGCGCTCGGCTATTCCAGGCCATGGTGAGTGGTTTACAATGCCCAATAGCGTTGTGGTCGGGTCTCAGGTTGGAAAATGATCCTGAGTCATCCAGAGACACTGTAGTCGTGGAGGATGTGAGGAAAACCAAGCAGGCGTATTGATGTGGAGAAGTGCGAATACTTTTACAAGTGGAACAGTCAATTCCCAGCTGAACGCAGTGACAAACCGAACAGGCATTCTCTCATGGGGCCGTGCCTCTGTGAACATATTTGATTTAGAATCTCTTAAAGAAGTTGTTAAATAATTTAGGCCTCAGTTAGTTCTACCACCAAGCCAGTGAACATTAAAGGCTTGTTTCCACCCCTGAATGAGAGCATTTTAAGCAAAACAAAGCACCGCTCATGGATGGAGTGTAGGGTTTTTTTTTTTAGAGGAAGAAAAAGAAGGAAGAAGGAGGAAGCAGCAGCAGCAGCAGCAGCAAGACAGAGCAACAAAGATAAAAGGAAGCAGAAAGAGAAAGGAAAGGAAAAAGGAGGTGGGGTATGTTGATGTCCCTTAAGATGGACTCCACTTCATATGTGTAGAGACCTCAGCATGTTGGCATCTCTCACACTGTGACAGGACCCAGGACACAGAGCTGGCTCAGCAGTGCCACTGTTTGGCTTTTCACATGGCTGTTTGTTGTAATCAGAAAGAAAAGAGTAAGATGTGGGGGGTTGTTCCTGGAGCCTGGGACTGGAGTATGGGAACATGGCTGGTCTAGAGGCCTGGACCTTGGGGAGAGAGGAGTGAGCAGGAGGTCCCGCTGGAGCCAGGGGGCCTGGGTCTGGGATTGGGTCTGGGCTGGCCTGCTTTGTAATGTGAACCCCTGGGGGATTAGAAGCTGTAATAGGAGGGGAGAGGTCGCCGCAAGGTCACTAGGCATGCTCACTCTCTGCATTCCTCCACCTTAGTACACTGCAATTAAGAAATTACACTGGAGGGCCCCGGTGAGGGGAAGAGGAGGAGGACAGAAAGGAGAGAGGGACAGCAAAGGCCAAGATTAATGACCGGTCTCACTGGTTGAAAGCTGTGCCATTTTCTTATACTCCCTTTCCATGTCAGTTCATTTGAAATGCAAGTGTTTGTCAGAGCAGGTCTCTTAAAACCTCACTACTGGGGTCATAAAATAAATAAATCATGCCGGGTGTTAGGGTATGATGGGTGCCCTCACCTCCATATAACCTAGAGCAGCTCCTGTTAAAAGGCCCAGCAGATGTTTTTGACACTGTAAGCTGGTAATCTCTAGTCTTGTAAGCTGCAGTCATTCCGTTAAGTAGATCTGAGACCCCCCTCCTTTATTAACAAGAGTGGTAAAACCATCTGAAGACAATAACTGAGGACAGACTGGGCCCCTCTCTCTCTCTCTCTCTCTCTCTCTCTCTCTCTCTTGCCATCTCTGCCTCCCTCGCTGCACTTCTGTTATGGCACAGCAGTCCTGCTCAATGGCTGGCCATAATTAAGTACCAAATATACCATATTGTGTGGCTGTGTAATCAAATCAACAGAGGATAATATTCCTCTGTATTAAGCTATTAATGTAATTGGTCATGAAGCATAAAGTATGTTACGTAATTAAATAGTCTCAAAATTATATAGCCCTATATTAAGAATTAGCCAACCTGAGCAAATGTTGTCTCTGTGTGGCTGTTTTAGGGAACATTGCTTCCTGATTTTCCTTTTTTTTTCCCTCCCTGCTGCCATTAGCAAAGACAGGAGGGGACGAGAGAAAACGTGTGAGAGACAGAGAGAGACAGAGGAAAAGAGAGAGAGAGAGAGGAAGCAAGGACTAGAGGGGTGAAATGATCTCTGTCGGCAGAATTGCCGCTGTGACCCTTTGGAAAATCCAGTCTCCATTTACATATAAAGGGTTCTTTTAATCAAGGTAAGTGTTATTATATTGTGCCTCATTGGGCAAGGGAGTTTAGGTGTTAAATAAAATCTCGTCTGCCCTGCCGCCTTTGGGATGTGATATGTCTTGATTTTTCAAATGTCAGCACTGTGGCAGAATGGCCAGCTTAATCAGACCGCCGCCATTTAGCTGTATAGGGATTGTGTGTGTCCATGCGTGTGTGTGTGTGTGTGTGTGTGGGTGAGAGAGGCAGCAAAACAGTGACACACACACACACACACACACAGCCTGTATCTGTATGTGTGAAAGAGATCCCCTCCTTTAGACACAGTGTGCATGCTTGTGTCTACAACCTTATAAATTTATCTGGGTGTCTCCCCCGCTCTTGTCTGTGAGTCTCAGGTCAGGCTAGTCGCCGGCCCCCGCCCCCCCTTAAATCGTCTCCCTCCAGTAAAAAATAATCAAAACACACAGCCCCCCCACACACTCATTCCTCCCTTTACACAGCTCAAACCAAACCCCCAGTGAAGGATCGGCCGTGTCACCCACGGCCCGTATATCTCGCTCAGGGACCGTAATGTACTGCGGTGTTCCCGTCTTTGCATATAAGATAATTTGGGCATCAATCCTTCCCCAGACAGATTTATGTCACTCGGAGGACAGTTTCACTTCTCCTTCTTTATCGCTTCACTGGAGCCTGCTTAATTTCTCCCTGTCAGCCCCTTCCCCAGGAGATGTTATTTTTTCCCTAAATGTCCAACATTTGCATTGGCTGTCCACGATGGGGAGAGCGATGGTGCTGTTGTGATAAATAAATTTGTGCATGCCACGTTGTTTCTCCCCCCCTCCTGCCCCACACACCCCTTTTTTCTGTTTTCGTTCCTGTTGTCTGGCGCCACAAGTCGGGTCCTCTCTGTCCCAGGATGGTTCCCTCTTTTCTCAAGTCTTCAATTCATCCCCCCCCGGACACACACACCGTTAAAGCATCTCGCTAAAACAGCCCTGCAGGCTCGCTTACAGTTGTTGCTGGGGGAGTAAAGGGAGTAGTAGAGCTTGCTGTAAAATTATAGCCAGGGTAAGAAGAGGTTGTGCTGATGAAGTGAAAGGGAATTGTGGGTGAAAAAATAAAAATAAAACCCACGGCCCCACAATGTGAAAAACAAGGAAAAGAGCCCAGTACTTACTTCCCCCTTTTTCTTTGCGTTTTGCGTTACAAGATGGAGGTTACATGTAGTGCCATTGCCCATCCATGCCCATATTCATCCCCATTCCACTCATAGGCCCTGGAAAGAGGAGATAAATGCCAGAAGAAGGGTCAGCAGGAGCTTGAATCACAGAGAGGTCAAGGAAGACCCACTGACAGATAAGATGAGGTTGGTTAGCTTTAGATGGGAGAAGATGAGGGAGCATAAAGAGGAAAATGTAAAGAAGTGGCTTAAGAGTTATTATTTTGCATTGCATCCAACAGATCCCTTTGTAACCATCACTTGTGAGGGATTTTCCCAGATGTGTTAGAGGTAAGAAAAAAGACAAGCAAGACAGGCAGCAAACCATTTGGAAAAGTTTAAAGAGAAGTGTTATTGTAGTGATGCTGCACAGCTAGAGTTAGATTTGTGTGACTGACTCAGAGACCTGTTCCGTGCTGAGGTGACTAAATCTCATGCTACAGACAAGAGGATCAGTGTTGATCAGCTCTGCGATTACCAGGCATGAAACTGGTGTCTGGTAAAGCAGGCATGACGGAGGGGCAGAGGGATGAAGGAGGAGAAGTGGACGGACTCACCAGCTGGTCGGATCCCCATGTGTTGCTGACCATCCAGTACGAAGCTGCCCATTGGCTGGCCCTCTGGACTGTATGCTGCTCCTTGGCTCACTGAAGGATCAAGAAGAAAACCTGATTGTAGTCAAAACGTGGACATGAAAAAGGGAAGGGAGGGGAGGGGGGGAAGAAGAAGAGAAAACACACCAGACAATCAGCAATTGTCCCAGCTCCAGCCCAAACATACTGTAAGACATTGTGCTCATGTTTGTGGACCGCAATGACTGACGCGTGGCATGCAAACACGCATACAGTAGGTCCTTTTGCATGCAAGCACACACACACACACACACACACACACACACACACACACACGCACGCACTTTTGTGCGTACACCCAGCCAGTGTCATTCAAAACCACGCTCACAGGAGTTACATTGTTCTCTAGCTGAGAGAAAAAAGCATGCAGTTTGACAGGATGAGAAGAATTTCTGCCATAGTCGGCAATTCACTCAGAGTCAGACATATACATGGCATATATCAATATGTTTCTGCCCTTAATAAGAACACAACACAATTCTAGACATGTAGATAATCCCAAAACTGCCAAATCATACCGCGTTATGAACGATTCACCTGATTATCTATCATGATACACAGCAATCAATTTGCTCAGTTATGTCTTTTTAATATTAGCCCTAAATTAACTAATGCTCTTTGGAGACTGCAGGAAACAGTGCATTCTAGCACTATGACGGTATTATCTTGGATAATCTGTAATTCTTAAAGATTAGGAGGAGACGTTAGTCATGCTGTGTTTGTAGAGATGCTTGATTGGCACACATTAGATGTATGCTGTCAAATATTCCTCACAAAAGCTCAATAACTGCAGCAGGAGTCGCCCACATTTGTAAGTGCATCTCATTTTAATCATGGCTCATGTTTGTTTGAACAATCTCCACCCCAGTGCGTAGGGATCTTTATAAGACGGTGAGCTCGCTAATCAACAAAAACAGCTTTTCCCTCCCTGAGACAAATTACTTGGCTTCTTTTTGGTAATGCCTCAGTCAGTGAAGCTTAGGGTGACTGAATCATTCCACAAGATCACAGAGTGCTGTGTTTACTACTCAGTTTGTGGTTTTTGTAATCTGACCACAATAGATATGGAAAATTAGCGTTATCAGCAGGCAGTATGGAGCTTTCCATAATCTGTTTTAAACAGATGTAAATCTCTCACGGCATTGATGTTAAATCAAAACATCAGATCTGATTTCATCAAGAAATCGTATAAAACTCATTCTCCCTCCTAAGTGTTGTTTTCACTGCCAAAAAAAATTGATGCTTTTAAACTGAAAATTTGTTGAAATAGCTTTGCAGAAGTCCTGATATTGAACTATGCTGAATGACTGCTTAAGATTATAATTCCAAAAAGTGACTCTTGAGGGAATAAAATAAAAATGCAGCAGTAAAAAGGTGAGGGGAACCCCTCCACCCCCCAACCCTCCACCCCTGGACTGGAAAAAAAAGAAAAGAAAAACAAAACAGACGAAAAAACGAGATAACTCATATATTGCTGCTAGCACTCCTCTTGTGTCCAATTAGCAATTCACANGGAAAAAAAGAAAAGAAAAACAAAACAGACGAAAAAACGAGATAACTCATATATTGCTGCTAGCACTCCTCTTGTGTCCAATTAGCAATTCACAGAGAGAGTGCTAATATACCTCTCTCTCCACTTAGACTGGGAAATCTCCAATTAGAGTCAATCAGCAAACGGCCCACACCACTGCTGAACACATCTCATTGAGAAAATGGAAAAGGGAATGAACAGAGGGAGAGGAGGGAGCAGAAGGGATTTTGGGGAAAAGCAGGTGTAGGATACCCTTTAAAAAATAAAAATAAATAAAAAATCTGGGTGCCAAGCATGATGAGCTTGCCAGTGAAGTATCTGGAAAGAGGTGTCTTCATGCAGGGGAAAGAAGTGGAACTTTACGGGAGATTGACATGATTGTTCTGCTATTTTTTTATTTTTTTATTTTTTATTTTTACCTGCTCGATTCGACTGGTCAATCATGGGTTGTACTATTCTTCTCCTGGCGTTAATAAACCTGGCAGAGTGAGAAAAAGAGAGAGAAAACACAGAGAGGAGAAAAACAAACGTTAAATCACCCTGCATTCACACATAGAGAGATTCATCACAAGCCACCACAAAGACAAAACAGTTTTGCATGACTTAATGGCAACATTAGCCACCGAGTCCTTGAGAGAGGCGCACACAACAAAACAGCAACAAACAAAAGGGCAATTGTGTGGTGACTTGGGAACCCAGTGAGGGATACTTTTAATGTTCCTTATGATCTATTCCCCCCTCTTTTAATAAAGCTTTTGATTACGTTTGGTTGCTATGGGCACCAGGGAGACATTCCTCAAGTATTAAGTGCAGCTTGGGCACAGAAGAACCCTCCACATGGCACATCCCTTCCTCCCTGCCTTAGTTACTCCTGCCGTCAGCTGCACACAGCAACTCTATACGTTGTGTACAGTATCCTGTCTCACACCGTGCCATTATTTTTTCAGGGTTATCACGCACCAGTGTTTGAAAGTAAGCTGTAAGTTTGCGAAATGCAGGATACAAATGGTTCCTTTCATTGCACCCCACCTCACCAGCCCCACCTCCAGCCTCCCCCCTTCTGTGGGACCCCCACTCTGGCTTGCATTGTAGGGGGTTCTGCTCCCCTTCCAGCTGTCTAGAAATGAGGACCAGGCATGGGCCACTCCGTGCTTTCACAAGGTATTGTTATGTCAGTGAGCCCATCAATTAGGCTGTCTGAAGTTTTATCACCGCCACAGCAGCGAATAAGTGCAGCTCCACAAAGCCTCCCCAGCCAGCCTTGCTCCTGTGGCTTTTCCAGTGTAGTGCCGGAGGTCAACTGGAGGTGACTGCCAGCCAGGGGCAACCTTTTTAACTTAGAATGGCATGCCTTGGGCTGTGTCAAACACAAGCTGGCCACTCAGGCCAAGCGAGCGCCCCACCTTTCCCTTTTGCCCCCACCCTTTCTGGCTTTCCCTCGTTCACTTTCATAAAGTTAAAAATGTAGCGTGGACATAGCGCTACGTGTACCACCATGTGGTTGATATTAAAGAGGGGTTTCAAATCACGTCGGAGCTGTCCAGCATGGAGTCCTTTGCTGGTTCCAAAAAAGAGAAGGAGGAAAAAAAGAAAAGAAAAAGGCCTCACCGCCCTCTCCTAACATACGGACCACGGTACCATCAATACGGCTAAAGAACTGGTCATTAGAAGGAAGGGAGAGCTGGAACCAATTTGGGCTCCTAATCCCCCATGAAGCCCTGATACCTGCCCTTACCTTCTCCAATGAACTTAAATGCCTGTAATCTGCCCGGCTCAAAGTGACATGGTTAAACGTACAAAATGCACGGTTGGGAAAAGAGAGACGTGGTGCTCATTTGCCAGGGGGCATCCAGAGTGCAGGTAAGCAGGGGTGCTACGGGCCCCTGAGAGAAAAAGATGAAACACATCCATATGAGAATAAGAGCACACGAAAGAGGAGGAACAGAGGTGAGTGCCTGAACGAGAGAGTTGGATTGGAAATGATATGATTGTAATGCATAATTTGTGATTTACGGGAGGAACCAGGATTAGGTTTTATTAACTGCAAAAGCATTTTTAGATAGAACAAAGGGGACAAAGCGTTGTTAGATCGCTATGCTGTCAGAAATGCCTTCAGTGCTTAAGAGAGAAAGACAGTTCCAGCATCAAAACCAGCTGAGCAAGTAAACAGTAAGACATTCCTGGTATTACACTCCCTCTTAAAGCGCTGAGTGCAAGGCTTGCCAAAATATATGTCCTGCTTTCTCCCTTTCTAGGCGCACCAAGGGGCTCAAAATCACAACCATGTGCATTCTTACCTATACTGGGTCATAACCATAAACACATAATATTAGGAATGTTCTTCCCAGGTGTTAAATTTGACCATACGCTTTCCAGTGACTGCAAAGGAAACACACTACGTACTGGAGTACTGCTGCATGATCAAAGTGCCATTTTCTTTTTCTTTTTTCTCCCTGCAAGTTCATTTAAAAACGATGTTCTTCATCTCGTGTTTTTTCCAACTTCTTAAAGGAATAAACTATACAGGAAACATTTTAGCTAAAAGAGTGTTTGCGCTCATTGAAATGTAATTTTTTATTTTATTTTTTTTACTATGAAAACAGCTTGTTGCTGTGTAGACAAAGATATGGATATTCAAATATTTCCCCTATAGGCTGAGACGGTTCTGCTTCTTGTCAGGATTCCCTTTTGGCTAACTGCCATCATATCACACCACATAGTCACAAAGGCTGTGTTTTTGCACGCGAAACAAGTTGCCACAGTAACAGGCAGGCGATGAGGTATAGTGGGGGGGGGTGACCAAGGGCCCTTCTTGTGGCCTTAGAGCACCTTTTATCAGTCTGAGTAAAGCCAATTGAGATTATCAGAGCCAGGACTGATAACACTGTTTTCCCTCGACCCGTGAGCTGCTAATGGAGTGTGCTTGGAACAACACAAAAAGGAATCCTCCGGAGATGAAGGCCAGTCAACTTGGATGGACAGTCAGATGGATGGATCTGAGGACCCGGAGGCCTGAGAGAGACATAGAAGTTGACCACAGGGACTCCGAATTCCTAAACGACTTGCTAAAACATACATGCATGTTGTAAATCTACACATCGACACCACGGACATGACCACAAGCACCGCCAGCGTGTCCGTAGGCTAACCAGAACACAGGAGGCTCACAGGGGACACTAGCTAAAAAACCTCCAACCCAAAGCCCATGTTTTATTATCTACATCTGGTGGTCTAGCTTATTATGGCCTGCCTCTGCTCAATGTTAGAGCACAGAAACACACACACACACACACACACACACACGCACACACGGTACACAGAGTACCTCTCAGCATGGGAACTCCATGCTGTCTTCAAACAAATAATTAAAGGCAAGGTTAGGGGGTCGTGTGGAGGTCATTCGTTGGGATACGGCGCACAATGTGTACAATACCCCTGGAGAAAAAGCGGGCTGCTGGGGGCAGCAGTCCACTGCTGTTTAATGTGCACAACTGGCTTCGTCCAGCCAATAAACCTTAAACACATTTTCAAGTTGCGTATCAAAAACTACACTCGCGGTGCTAAGTACGCTTTGGAGCATGCATGTGAATATGTATGCACGTGTCAGTCAATATGTGTGTATTGTGCATGTCAGCACATTCTTCACACACTACTGCCAACTGGCCCACGGTAGCACTTCCCACTGACATGCCCTGAAATGGTGCGAGCGATGCATGTGTACAAACACATGTGCAGATACAATATGCATCTTCGCTGGATGACTGAAATTCCAGCTCCTTGATGACAAAAAGTGGGGCGCTTACTAGAACTCAAGGTGTTGTGGCAGTGGAGGTTGTGGAGGAAAATAGCAGGAAGATATGAATGATGGAGCCAGGGCAGCAGGAGTCCACTTGACACAGGGTCTCCGCTAGGCTGGATCAACACAGCATCCTTGGTTACTAATATCTACTCTCACACAAGGGGGGGAGCTTCAGAGAGTGACTCTGTGGTGTTAAATACCCTGGCTGGCACACTGTGTTATGCTACACCTCCTGTGCATGTGAGTGAATGTGAGGGATTGAGGGTAGGAGACAGATTTAATAATGAACTTGTATAATCATGCAGAAGAAGTTGCAATATATGTTGACAAATTCTATGGAAGGTTGCTGGAAGTTTGAAGGTGTAATCACAGCAAACCAGTCCGCCTGACTCAGTGCTTGTCTGTATTCATTTTTTTTCCGACTTCCTCATCTCAATCTGTCAGAAAGGCCTTGTTTCTGGTTAACTGACTTGCAGCCACACCTGGTAACTCACTCCTGTTGTCAGCATTCCTTCCCTGAGAAATTGTCATGCCAAACCACCCTACCCTGGAGCACGGCCAAGAGACAGAAAGAGAGAGAGAGAGAGAGAGAGAGAGAAAGAGAAAGAGATCAAGAGGGAGGGAGACGAGACAGAAAGAGCCTCGCTACTTGGCCAGCCAATTGCTGCTGAGATCGGAGGAAACCCAGCCAATCAGGAGTGGGGTCACTTGTTTGACGAGTTTGTGATGAAAGAAAGAAACCGAGCCAGAGCCAGAGCGAGACAGGAGAGAGAAACAGAGAAACACTAAACATGTCTTCTCCAAGAAGTAAGCAGTGGGCTGCTGCTCCAAATGCAGCCCTGTAGAGTGTGCAAAACGTAGGAGGCAGCTTTGAAATTGTGACGCAGAAATGGTTGACAGTTTATTGCCTTCATGGCTGACCTGCACGTGCCCATTTCGAAAGCTCATATGCCAAGGAGAGGGGCGCGAGTTTCCGTTTGTCGGTCAAATTCTTGGGCCCCTGTCTGTCCGTCTTTGTAGAAAGATTAGATGCAACACAATCTGAACAAGAACGTGCTGAACTCAATCCACCATCACTGCTTGCAAACATGACTGTCCTCTGGTTCCTATTAAAGCTCATTGCTTCCATACTTCCGCTTCAGACAGAAATAAAGATTCCAAACCCCCAGCAACTGAGTCACAACTTCACTGAAATCAAAGGAGGAAAGCTTTAGTTTGATCCTCTCCCCAAAAAAAGAAGAGAGAGAGAGAGAGTGGAGTAAAAACACTCCATGTCCTTTAACAAGGAAGTGCATGCAAATTAACCCCATGAGGAGGGTGTGTTTAGTATAAGCAAACACTAATTATGGTCCGGTCAGACAGTGGGGAAGTCTGGGGCTACTGAACCTCCAACACTGATCTACTGTAGTGTCAACAACAGTGATTTAATCAGCTCACGTGGTCCAGGCAGGCCCCCGGTAACAGTTTATACACAGTTTGCCACCAGATTGAACTTACAGTATCTGTGGATTTATCATAAACTATCACAATGGAGCTTTTCACAGGCTCCACTCCTCCAGGATGGAGATAAAGGACAAAGAGATAGGGAAGGAACGAGGAAGCTTCCTCAAGCTCATCCTATCAAAGACAGAGTTTCCCCATTCTCTTTGCCTTCTTTAAGTTAAAACAGGAGTCAAGAG